TACAATGATAAAGCAATTTTCATTCAAGTTTCAAAGGAATGTTGTGCCTATCAAACTAAATAAAAAGTGACTTGAGTTGTTGATACTCAAAATGTCAACCTTAGAGTCAGATTTATTCATTCACAATAATAAACATGATTTTAACTACTGTGCAGACTTTAAGCATAGAGAGATAATAAGACACAGTTTCTTAAGTAAAAAATGAATGAGACCCAGTTTCTTTAGTAAAAGTAACAGGCAAAATTACAGAATCAGTACTCAGTGCTGTCAGTAACAACAAAATAAAAACAGAAACACTATTTCTTGTGAGATAGTATGAGGTAGAACGAGGTCTCTGAAATCCAACTCACTATATGGTGGGGCTGGAGAGATACCACAGCAGGTAGGGTGTTTGCCTTGCATGGGACAGACCTGGGCTCTAACCCTGGCACCACATATATCCCCCCAACCCCCAACCCAGGAGTGATTCCTGAGTTCAGAGTGAAGGGTACGTCCTGAACACCATAAGATGTGGCCCCCAAACCAAAATAAAAATTGTACTTTTTATTATGTGCTACAATACAATTGCATTCTTTAATCTGTATCCCAAATAGTATTCTCTAAGAACGTTCCTTAAATAAGAGGCATATTCATTTAACTCTAATGTTTTGCTTAACCAAAACAGTGATTAATAACATTTACAGAAAATAAGACCATAGACTATTTAGGAAACAAACTGTAGTACCCAATGTTTTAAATTTTTTTTCAAAGAGATGTTGTTTAATAATGAATAAACCACATCTAATAGAAGCATTTTTTAAAGCATTGAAGACAATTTGCAAGAGAAAAGACAGGAAGGTGGGGCCAGATGGAGTAAAGGAAGAAAATCTTCTGAGGAAGGTCAGGGGAGTGGGGTAGTATATGGGGTGGAGGGGGCCAAGCCCTGAAAGGTTTAGGTCAGCAAGAACAGACGGGTTTAGGGTTCAGTACAGAAATAGAAGGGATAAGCCGGCTTCTGGGCTTTAAAGTGAACCTCGGTATGAAATGGGGAAAAGTGACATCTAGTGTTCACTGAAAATAATCCAGAATCTTCTACCAATACAATCTGAATGGCAATAGGCAATAAGCAGTTGGGCTATAATGAAAAAGTACACTCCAGTTTCAAAGGCAAATACATTCTTCCAGGTCATTCTCAGCCCCTTTTCCTCTAAACACGTGTTTTAACTTTCTTTGTTGACCTTTAGAACCAAATTGAACCTTCTTCAGTTGAAAATCCAGGGAATGTCATGGTTTTCCGAATTGCACCAGGCCACACCACATACCCTGTTTCCATAAACACCTGGATGAAGCATGCTTGCACCTAACCAGCATGGTGGGGGGGGGGGGGGTCGGGGGGAAGGACAAACACACCCTGAAGAAAATCCAACCCCTTCCTGCAGAACTCATACCATAATGGGACATGTGTGGGTGCAAGGACACGAATCAGCAAATGCTCTAACAATTCTATATCCTATATACAGATCTAACACTTGAGGGAACTGTGGTATAAGTTGATTCTCCCTCAATAAGGTCTCTGCACCCTCCATTATGCTTACAAAGTCACTGTCTTGATTGAAAGTTATATCTTTGGTAGAACAGATTTCAATGCCACCCTCATGTCAACCTGTCTAATAGTTTCTCATGGGAACTTTGGAAGATTACTGAAGCTGAAATTTAAAAGCTGTACCTATATTTATGTGTGCAACACACATATACACATAGAAATATATGTGTGCAGGTGCAAAAGGTTCCACAAAGGGAAAAGCAAACTTTAAGTCTATTTTTTTCAATACATTAGAATACTTTCTAATTTGGGTCTCATGAAAATGGTCCCTAGGGAAATGTATCTTTGAGTAAAATCAGACAATTCTCCATTTAAAGAAAATATAAGTTTTGCTTATGATGTCAGAGACATCACCAGAAATTCCACTACTGAAATCAAGGGTGAGTCAGCAGGGATGAGAAACATGTATCAAAGTAGAAAACAAATGGATAGCCTTCCCAAGAGATTACATGCTTAATTTATCTTAGTAAGTAGCATCTCTAGGCAGACAATCAAGTGATTCCATTACTAAACGCACATTTAAATTGGCCTGCCGTATTCTCACCTTTCGACTAGCATGCTCATCATACAAAATAGTACATTACTGATTCCTACTATTTACTGTTTCTAGCCTTGTAGACTGGTATTGTTATTAAAAAACAGAAAGTGGGCTGTCAATATAAATCAACAACAGTGTTAAACACAAATCAGGCCAAGCTAATTGTGCCTATGGTTTTCCACCAGTGACTTTTGCCACTTCTCTCTGGGGATAGTCAGGTCACTTGCTTTGACTTAGGGGAAAAAAAAAACATTTAATAGAAAGCACCTACCTAAAAAGAAAGAAGAAAAAGAAGCTCCAGTACTGAATAAGATACACTGACATGTAGCCAAATTACCATGATTCAAATAAGCAATTGTTATAGAATTACATTGTTGTATAACTTCAGGGGGGAAAAAGAAGTCAGACTCAAAATATAATAAGTATAAAGCAAATGTTTGTTGTAATTTTTCTTTTGCTTAGGGGTTTCACCATCCTGTGTGCTCAGAGGTAACTCAGAGGCCCATATATGGTGTGAGGGATCAAAAAAGGGTCAACCACATGCAAGGCAAGCACTTAACACCTTTACTATTTCTTTAGCCCAGGCAATTATTTTCTTTTCGAAGCATTAAATTCTCTTTCCTAACTACAACAATAAAATAGAGATGCAAATTCAATGATATTGTGGATAGTTACTGATAAGAAAAGTGATAATCTGCATGGTTGTCTGGACTTTAACTCAAGAGAAAATTAATAGTCCTCAAAGGTTTACAGTGCGTCCATACAAATTTGATGGCAGCTCTAAGTAAAGTTGCCAACAAACAGTTAAGCTATATCCGTATGATATAATTGTTTGATTTTAAAAACAAGTGTGTAAAACAGGGCACTTAGCAGACTCCTTTCAAATACAGAAGGAATCAGGGGCCAGAGCGATAGTACAATGAGTAGGACGACTGCCTTACACACAGCCAACTTGGGTTCAATCCCCGGCATTGCATGTGGTCTTCTGAGCACAGAGGCAGAAGTAAGCCCTAAACATTGCTTGGCTGTGGCCCAAAAACCAAAAGCAAATAAAGGAAGGATTAGAACCGTCCCAAATACTAGAGTTCATCATGGCAGTAGTTGACACCGTCTTATGAATTCAGAGTTATTATTGCCTTAATCATGCTCGTTACTCTATTTGATCTCCAATGCTGTGAAAAACCTCCTCATAAGTTCAATGTCACACAGGTTTTATCTCATAATTAGGATCTGTACTGCAAAGAAAGAACTAATCGCATCTTGGCAAACTGGTGAACAGTACGCACCTTGCAGAATGCAGCACAGTGCGTTAAAGGAACTAACATTTAGCTCAGTGGAGCTTATTTCTCTCAAGACTGCAGTTCATTTTATTTTAAAACACAGATGCTACCGTCAATACTCATCAACCGAATTAATTATACACTGAAAAATCCCACTTCAATTCTTCCACTACATTGCAATGGTTACAAATCAGACTTGTTGCAAGAACACCTCAAGCCAAGTGTACAATTTCCTACAATACCTAAGGATGGGAGAGCACCCTTTCAAATTCAAAACAGCAATGAAACAGAAAGCCTTATGCCCATCTTCTCCACTTTCTTAAGCAGCTTACTTCCAAACACATCTTCCAGGGATAACTAACATCTGCAATAGCTGGAAAATTATTCATCTTACAAAGTACTGTACCAAAAATAAAGGCCTTTATACAAATTTCTATTTTTAAGGTTTTGTTGTGGTAGTATCCCAAATGATATAAGTTACTGAACAGGAGCACCTGTCTCTTTGCAGGGTTTTTGCTTCCAACCCATACAGTAGTTATGGCCAGTTAAGAAGAATGCTAAGAACATATAGATAGATAGATAGATAGATATGCACGTATATATGTATATATACATATATATATATACAATTTTTTTAAGCCTGCGTCCTATCAACTTTTGAACCTTTCTCAATTGCCCTGGAAAGGAGAGCTAAGTGAACTTCTGGGTTTGGTCACTGAAAGAATTTGAGAGTTCGTGGAGGCACAAAGCTTCCAGCAGTGACTATTACTGACATCTGCCTGGGCAACCACATTAGCTGTTAGCATCAAGCTTTCCAGGGCTCTGAATGATAAAGTCTCTTTCAACTGTTTCCAGAACACTGGGTTATTCTGTGGGTGGCAACTTGAAGGTTTCCAAGAACTTTTCGTCTTTGTTTGAGCCAACATCTTTGTTTTCAGTCCATCGACAGTTTATTTAAAATAAGAGGGAGGAGGGGGAGTTCTTTGGGGTAGGGGCTAGAAATAGACATTGCACACAAAGATTCTGTACTAGCAATCTGGCCCTTGAGTTGTCCACAAAGCTGTAAGCACTGGGTGGGAGGCCCCCATCGTGAGCAACCGCCCCCTTCCTGACGCCCCCCACTCCCCCCGGCCAGGGTGGCCTCCCAAAGAAGAACCGAACCCTAAGTCCTAGGCTCTGGGAAAAAAACCTGGTTCTCACCAACTGGGAAAGTCGCGACTCCTTCCCATGAAGCCCTTCGGACCAGGAAGACAAACCTACAAGTTCCCACATGGGATCCCGGGGGACCCCGGGGGAAGACGGAAGGGTCAGAGACGGGCGTCCCGGGTGCCGGCGCCCACCAGCCAGCACCAGCGATCCCAGAGGAGGGAGAACGGGATGCGGGCACAGAAGGGGTCACGGAGGCTTCGCGGCGAGTGGAAGGGTGCGCAGGGGGAAACCCGGCGAGAGGGAAGGTGGGGAGCGGCGTCTAAAAGGGGCGCGGGTTGGGGAGGGGGCGCGGAGTCCCAAAGAGCGCGGAGGAGCGGACGCGGGGTGCGCGAGGGGCGCGGGCGGAGGAGGGGACCCGCGCAGGGGAAGGGGCGCCGAGGGGCTTACTCACCCGCGCGGGCACCAGCAGGCGGCCGGGACGCCCGCGGGGGGCGGCCAGGGGCGGTGGTCCCTGGGCGCTCATCACCGCCCCTGCGGCGGGGCCGGCGCTCCGGCCGGGCGAGCTCAGCGCGGGGGCCCCGTGCGCGCGTCCAAGGGCCCCGCGGGCGCCGAGTCCGCGCCCCCTCGGCTCGCTCGGCTCCGCCCGTAGCACCGGCGCCTCCCACGCAGGCCCGCCCCAGAGCGGTGGGGGGTGCGGCTAGGGGGGGCGCGGGCAGGCGGGGGAGGGGTCACCCCGCGCCGCGGCGGGGAGCGGCGGCCGCTCGCACCAGCCGGGGTCGCACGCGCACGGCGGTGGGCGGCTTCGGGGCGCGCACCCTACACCCTTAGTGGATGCTGGGACTGGCAGCCCCCAGGCTCCATCCAGCCCTGCCCGGCACTTGAGCTTGTCCCGGCCCGTCCCGGGAGGGTCTCCTGCAGCTGAACTGGATCCTGGAGATTGCAGGCAATGAACAGTACGCTGAAACCTCAACTCTTTGCCTCTTGCCTGATACCAAGGCTTGGTGGCTCTGCCTGGCGCCGCAAGAATGTTCAAGAGTCAGCCTTGACCCTACAGGCACTCTCTGCTCCTGGACTAGGACTAGGACCCCATGCGGCCTCGGCGACAGTCCCCACCCTCAGGGTCCGGGTAGCCTTAGCTGGTGACTGGCTTCCCTTAGTTCCTGCAGTTTTACACTACAAGGACTCTCCCAGAAGGCTCTGATCTCTCTCTCTCTCTCTCTCTCTCTCTCTCTCTCTCTCTCTCTCTCTCTCTCTCTCTCTCTCTCTCTCTCTAACACACACACACACACACACACACACACACACCACAGCTACCAACCTGTTAGAAGCAAGTGTCACTCTCTCCCTTTCAAAGTCCTGTGTCTCCCAATCCTCCCAACAGGAAATATTCATGAATAGCATGAACCATCTCCACAAGTGGAAAGTCTGACGCATGATTGGCAAATATATATTGAACAATTATTGAACAAACACTACTTGTTCTGATTCCAGCCTGATTTTTTTCCAACTCTACAGAGTCAAAATTGACTTATAACACCACATGCTGATGTAGTACAATTTTCTTGCAATACGGTTACCATCATAAGACTCCCTAATAACTCTGGCATATCTCATAGTGTCCATCTCATATGTGAGATCATTCCACAGCTACAGCACTAGTAACTTTCAAACGTATAGTACAACTTTGTTGACTGGGGTCATTATGCTCGATATCACATCAGTGGAATTTAGACTTAAAAATATAATATAAAATAGTTGGTCAAAGCCTGTGCAGTTCACCCAGTGCAAGTTCCTGGAAACCTCTGCTCTATTGTTTCTCTAAATTTGGCTTGTTTTTTTTTTCTTTTATATATTTCACAAGTAAATAAGACCATACATAAAGTGTTGTATTCTATAGCCAAAATCTGGAAACAACCCAAGTGCCCTAGAACAGATGACTGTTAAAGAAACTTTGGTACATCTACACAATGGAATAGTATGCAGTTGTCAGGAGAGATGAAGTCATGAACTTTGCTTATAAATGGATAGACATGGAGAGTATCATGATAAGTGAAATGAGTTAGAAAGAGAGGGACAGACATAGAAGGACTGCTCTCATTTGTGGAGTATAAAACAACATAACATGAGGCTGACACCTAAGAATAGTAGATACATGAGACAGGAAGATTGCTCCATAGCTGGAAGCCTGCCTCATGAGCAGGAGAGGAGAGGCAGCTGGAATAGAGAAGGGATCACTAAGAAAAAGATGGCTGGAAGAATCGGTCGGGAAGGGAGGTGTGTGCTGAAAGTAGATAAAGGACAAAACATGATAACCTCTCAGGGTCTGTATTGCAAACCATAATGCCCAAAAGTAGGGAGAGATTATGGGGAATCATGTCTGCCATGGAGGCAGGGGGAGCGTGGGAAAGGGTGTATACAGGGGATATTGATGGTGGGGAATGTGCACTGGTGGAGGGATGGGTGTTTGATCCTTGTGTGATTGTAACCCAAACATGAAAGCTTCTAACTATCTCACGGTGATTCAATAAAATTAAAATAAATAAATAAATAAAGTGTTGTATTCTGACTTGTTTCACTTTGCATAGTGCTCTCAAGATCCTTCTATGGTCTCCCAAATGATAGAATTTCCTTTTTAATAACTGGGATGAATCTATTACATGCTATCTATCTAACTCTATCAAATGGAATATTATTCATATGCATGTATGCAGTCACATGGGGGGTATACCTGGAAGTACTCAGGGCTTACACCTGGCTCTGCACTCATGGGACCGTTTGTGTAGCTGAATCTGGGTTGGTGGCAGGCAAAGCAATCACCCCACTGGCTGTACTATCTCTTCAGCCCACATGGCACTTCTTTTTTTTTTCATTCATCTGACAGACATGTAGGTTGTTTCTATTTGATTATTGCGAATGCTGCAATAAGCAAGAGGAGCTATTAATATCTCATACAGATAACTGTGTGAAATCCTGTTTTTATTTTCTTTGTATATATCCCCAAAATGAACTTATGGATTTTGTGGTGATTCTATTTTTCATTATTTGAGAAAACTTCTTGCTGTTTTCCATAGTTACAGCGCATTTCAGCCGCAGAGTAGACCTGAGTCTCTCACCCAGATGCAGGGAAGAAATAGACTTTTTTCATATTTCTCCTTGATTCCTATCTATCCTCAGATATAAACAGAAGTCTATTGGAGTTTCTGAACACTTACTGGTTTTCTAGAAAGTAGGTCTTCTCTTTGTCCTGGTATAGCATCCCAAACAAAGGAAGTTTTTAGAATGCGATGGTAAAGAATATTGTTCAATTTTTGTTTACTGCAAAACGGAATTTAAAATAAAGTTAAGAAAGATCACTGTTGACATATTTTCAAAATACATTAATAGCATATGGGTTAACTCTTTTAAAAAAGATGAGAAAGATGGTGACTTGTTGGCTTCCAAAAGGAGAAGCTAGTATAGCATCCACAGAGCGAGAATTGTAAAAGTGTCAGATTTAGAAAAGTTGGATTTTCGTTCAGCTTCATCCGATCATGATCACGATCATCCTGTTGTTCCTCGATTATCTCAAGCAAGCACCGGTAACATCTCCTTCTCCCTAGCCCTGAGATTTTAAAAAGTGCCATATTCAAGGCTCTTTCAGGGTTAGGTGAATGAGACCCATCATTGTTACTGGTATTTGGCATATTGGGTACACCATGGGGAGTTTGCCAGACTCTGCCGTGTGGACAGGTTACTTTCGGTAGCCTGCCAGGTTGTCCAAAGTAAGAATGAGATAAGATGCTGTGGGTGTGACCCCTGCCTACTGGAAGATGGAGGATCTGAGTGGAGGATGCTCAGCCCTGTTCCGAGCAGGCTTGGAGATCTCAGCCCCAGGACCCGCATGCCTTTGTTCCTCTGCCGGTACCTTCATGTGTGTGTAGAGTGGTATCAGCATGGTTGTGGCTAGTTCTGGAGGTCTTCGGCTGCTGGGGCTCTGCTTGGGGCGGGGAGGGAAGCTCAACCCGCCCCCCTCCAAGGGGCCCCAGTGAGGACAGCCAGGCGCAGGGGCAGGTGATTCTGCCCATCCATTATATTGTTAAAAAAAAGAAGAGGCTGGAGAGATAGTACAGTAGGTAGGACCCTTGCTTCGAATGCAGTCTCCCCCGGTTAGAAGCCCACCAGGAGTGATCCCTAAGTACAGAGCAAAGAGTACCCCCAAGTACCTTCGGTGGTGGGTCTTCCCAAAATAAGTTTCTGAAAGAATATTTCTGCTCTCATAGTAAATTAACATATGAAATATGTAGTTTTACCTATTTTTGGAATCTTTCTACACTAAATATTTTTTATTCTGAATCCAGGATATTTCAGGTGTTCTGGGGATGTCTTTGGCAAGCTAATTCAGGTTTTAACTGTAGCATTTGTGGTTTTATGCTTTTCATGTTAGGATTGCATTCAATAATTTTTGTGATAGGGTTCTCACAATAATGATGAATTGTGAAACATTGAGTATACTAACACTGAAAGAAAACTTTTTACGAGTTTTCTATCTGAAAATCAACTCTAAAACTTTCACAATGTTTGTAGTCTTCTTCCTGAGATGTTCCTATATACAGTTCATCAGGGTATTCTCTTCTTTTTTTCTTTTTGGGAATCTGTGAACATAGTCCCATACTATCACAAATTATGCAGTGAATGTTCCACATTTGGGGACATTACAGTCAGCACTTCTGGAGTGCAATGGATAAACCTCACCTTGGGAAAATCCACCTTTTTGACCAGGTACCTCCCCTGTAAAGAACATCACTTGTATCACTTGTCATCCGTTGATCTTTGATTTGCTCGAGCAGTCGCCAGTAACTTCTCTGTTCATCCCTGTTGCGTGCTGGTATAGCCCAATGATGCAAAAATGAAGAATGGCTTAGCAATGGACATATCATTCTTTTTTTTCCCTTTATTTTATTTTATTTTTTTTTACAGTTGTAGATTTACAATTTTTGGTGCTTTGGTTTCAATTATACAATGATCAGATACCCATCCCTCCACCAGTGCCCATTTTCCACCACCATGGATAATATCCCTCCCACCCCCATCCCCCCATCCCCCCTGTCTCTGTGGCAGGGCAATCCCTGTGTTCTCTCTCTCCTTTTGGGTGTTGTGGTCTGCAAAAGACGCATTGTGTGGCAAACATGTTCAGTCCATAGTCTACTTTCGACATGCATCTCCCTTCCTGGGAGGATCCTCCAAACATCCTTTATTTGGTGCTCCCTTCTCTATCTGAACTGCCCTTTCCTCTAGGATACCCGGCTGGCCTCTAAGTTATGGAGTAATCCTCCTGGTGCTGATCTCAACTATTCTTGGGTATTAATCTCATACTTTGTTACTTTATATCCCCCAGATGAATGCAATCTTTCTATGTCTATCCCTCTCTTTCTGACTCATTTCGCTTAGCATGATACTTTCCATATTGTACCACTTGTATGTAAATTTCATGACTTCATCTTTTCTAACAGCTACATAGTACTCCATTGTGTAGATGTACCAAAGTTTCTTTAACCAGTCATCTGTTCTTGGGCATTCAGGTTTCTTCCAGTTTCTGGCTATTGTAAAGAGTGCTGCAATGAACAAACAAGTGCAGATGTCACTTCGACTATACATTTTTGCCTCTCTGGGATATATTCCCAGGAGTGGTATTGCTGGCTCAAATGGGAGCTCAATTTCTAATTTTTTGAGAATCGTCCATACTGTTTTCCAGAAGGGCTGAACCAGTGGACATTCCCACCAACAGTGAAGGAGTGTCCCTTTCTCGCCACATCCACGCCAGCATTGGTTGCTTTTGTTCTTTTGAATGTGGGCCAGTCTCTGAGGTGTGAGATGGTATCTCATTGTGGTTTTGATCTGCATCTCCCTGATGATTAATGATGTAGAGCATTTTCTCATGTGCTTTTTTGCCATTTGGGTTTCTTCTTTGAGAAAGTTTCTGTTCATTTCATTGCCCCATTTTTGGATGGGGTTGGATGTTTTCTTCTTGTGGAGTTTAACCAGTATTTTGTATATCCTGGATATCAGCCCCTTGTCAGATGTGTATTCGGTGAATATCCTTTCCCATTCTGTAGACTGTCTTTGTATTTTGGTCACTGTTTCTTTGGAGGTGCAGAAGCTTCTTAGTTTAAGATAGTCCCATTTATCTATCTCTGTTTTCACTTGCTCGGCCAGTGGCGTGGCATCTTTGAAGATACCATTAGCTTCAATGTCCTGGAGGGTTTTGCCAACTTTATCTTCAATGTACCTTATGGTTTCTGGTCTGATGTTGAGGTCTTTAATCCATTTTGATCTTACTTTTGTACCGGACATATCATTCTTATGCCCAAAGAATCTGTTTTGTTCAGAATCTAAACACTAAGTCAAGTTAGTGATTTAGCCTTGCAAATGATATTCAAAATAGACAACTGATACTTCTTCCTCCTCCTATCCTCCTCTGACAGAGGCACAATGGATCCATGAATTACCTCAAAGATAGTCAACATACAAAGAAGTCCAAAATAAACCAAATGCTGCCTAAGTAAGAATGAGATGTACTCTTTTAGAATAATTTAATTTGATAGTGTGTGGAAAGTACAAGCTTAGAAATCTAATTAGGAGTGAATAATCTTTAAGCAAAAATGTCAAACAAGAAAACATGTACACAAATTATGAGTATTTAATTCCATTCCATTCAATGTTTGAGAACTTAGTCAGCAAGCTATTTTAATTCACTTGTATCACTTGTCATCCCGTTGATCTTCAGTTTGCTCGAGTGGGCACTAGTAACGTCTCCATTCATCCCTGTCGTGTGCTAGTATAGCCCAATGGCATCTGCTCGCTCCAGGAACACAAAGAGCCTCAAGCCGTTTGTTCAGGGTTCTGATGAAGAAGTTTGACCATCTCATAGGTGGGCAGCCATAAGTCTTTTGACGTCTTGTGGAATCCAGTCGGTAACAGCTTCTAGTCCAGCGGTTGCCTCTAAATTGCATTACATGTCTGGCCCATCTGATTTTTGATGCCTTGGCAAATGAGACAGCATCCCTGATTCTTGATCATCATTGAATTCATTATTCCTCCAGATTCCTTCTCACTTGAGTGAAATGTGATATTCCATGCATAGCTCTTTTGATTCCTCTTTGAGATACCCGAATAGCATTGTTCTGTTTTCGTAGGTCCTAGGTCTCTGAGGCGTAGGTTAGTGCAGGAAGAACAGTGATGTCGAAAAGATGTGCCCAGAGCCGGAGGTTCTTCATCCTCTTAACATCTTCTTCGATGATCTTGAAGGCATTCCATGCCACCCTCTTCCTTCTGTGCATTTCTGGCGCCAAGTCATTCCTCATGTTAAGTTCTCGACCCAAGTACACATGGCCGCTGCATTCGGAGATGTTTATTCCATTGAGAGCAAATAGAACGTCAGGGACTAGTTGGTTTTTCATGAATATTGTCTTGGTGAGATTCAGCTGCAGTCTGACCTTCCCACACTGTCAAAGTCAGCCAGCATTTGTGCCACTTGGCTAATGTTTGGTGTTATTAGAACATATCAATCAATATATTCCTCATGAATTAACTTTTAATTTTAAAATGATTACAAATTTACAGAGAACCTGCAAAAATAGAACCATTTATCCCTCACTCAAAATCCCAACTTTGTTGCATTTTGACCACATTTATCATGTTGTTCTTTGCAGATTACTTTTTTGAGACACTTTAAGAGTATTTTTAGTATTTTTCAGATGTGAGATGCCATCATCCTAAGTGCTTAACATGAATTTCTTAAAAATCAAAAATCAGAAGTCAGAGGGAGAGATAGTACAGCAGATAGGAAATTTGCCTTTTACTGATGGCCCGGGTTGGATCCCCAACATCCCTTAAGGTCCTCCGAGCACCGCCAGAATGATTCCTGACTGCAGAGTCAGAAGTAACCCCTGAGTATTGCTAGGTGTGGCCCCAAAACAAAACCACACTTAAAAAAAATCAAGAGAATTATTTTACATTTAGGGACTACAATTAAAATCAGAAAATTATTATTAATGTGATGATGATTAAAACCACTTTTTAAAGATATAGTATTGCTATAATGATTTTAGATAAAACCTAAAAACTAAAACCTTGAACTTGTTACAGATTTACATATTCTCCTTTTCCATTCCCAAGAATATATTTGTGACACGGGTTTCTCTACTGTGTTTATATGCTACTGATAATAAAGAAATAATTTAGACATTTATTATTTTCTGAAGTATCAAAAAGCCAACATAGATTGGATAAATTAGCAATCAAGAAATAATTTCCACTGCACATTAAAAACTTTAAATACTGGGGTCAGAGAAATAGTTTAGAGAATAAGGCACGTGACTTGCATATGCTGACCCTAATTTGATCCCTGGTACCACAAGTTCCTTTGAACATAGCAGGGTATAATCCTGAAGGCCCCTGAGCCACTTTCTATTGCACCATTTTTTTCTCAAAATGCCCTTTTATAACAGTAATATGTATTTAATTAACTGCCCGTTTTCTGCTTTGCCTTCTGCTTCAACATGCAATTCAGGATTATGACCTGTTTTCATTTGTATCACCTTTGATTCTCAGTCTCAACTGTTAACATATTTTAAGAGTGTATTATGCCCATTATTTGAGATTGTCTAAAGATTCTTTATGGCTCAATTCATTTATATGTTATAGGCAGGAGAATCACAACAATGACATTTTAATTTACAGCACAGGATATTGAAAAGACATGAAAAGTTAATTTGTCCTATTTACAGCCTCCTTTATTATTTGGCTAAGTTAGTTTCTGCCAGATTTAGCCCTTAAAAAATTTAATGAATATTGTGTTATTCACAGTGCAACACAATGAGTCTATGTTTTTGAACAACTAATAAAATGTATTAACATATGATAAAAATTTGAGAGCCATCTACTTTGAGCTGCTTATTCATCCTAAAATGCAGTGGCTTAAATCTTTTCCCAGTACTGTAGTGTCACCTATAGTGTCACCTATAGTGATGCCAACAACATGGTTTCCTCTTCTTCTTTCCTATTCCTAACTTTTCTCTCCTTCCTGAAAAGAATTTTATACATTTTAGAAGTTTTATCAGAATTCTAAATTGTGACTTTACTAATCTTCTCAAAAGTTCTTTAGCTTTTATTCATTCTAGTATTCCTAACCCTTTAACAAGTTTATTGTCCAGCATTATTTTTAAGTTTCTTGTGAAAGATACTCAGAGCATTCATCTGAGTCACTTCCTTTCTGAAGTACCGTTTAATTCTGCAAATTTCCCTACAAACTGTTTTGTATTTTTAGAGCTTTTTAAAAGAAATTGGGAGTTATCCCTGGTATTGCTTGGAGCTCCAAGAACACTTTTAACAACACTTCATCCAACACTGAGGGCCCAAGGATTTAGTGCTAGTTTTGAGCAAAGTGATGCTTGTGCTACTCAGACCCAGCAGTGTTTGAGTATATCAGGGCTGTACTCTATAGTGGAGGGAGGAACATATTCCAACCTGGTGAAGCCAGGGGTCTAATTCTAGTGCTACAAAACATGTAGTCAAAAGTCTGCAGCCTTTTGATTATCTCCCCAGCCATGTTTTTGCATTTCTATAATTTTAATATTTTCCATAGACAAATTTCATAGTATTGTCATTTTAATATTTTTCAGTTATTATATTTTATGTCTAATCTGGCAAGACAATGAAGTCAAATTTGTTAATATTTTTTGTTAATTGCTTAGTCTCCTAACAATTGTTTAATTGTTCAACTCTCCTCTGGTGATTTAACCTGC